TATAGCCTAATTTTAAATATCAGAGTTTGTAAAATGATATATGCAGGTAGTTTACAGAATTTTCTTTTTTTGTATTAAAAAAAGAAAGTCTTCATTATTAAATGTCCAAAGAAATTAAGGTTAAAGGTAGTTCTACCCAACTGTTGTATCTTTGAGAACCTCAAAGGATTCCCTTTGAGTAGTTAGATAAAATGCTTCCTTGGTGTTAATTTTCACTGATAGCCATTTGTCCTTTAGGAATACATTCCTGAAAGCTGTTACAAAGAACCACGTTTTCACTAATGTGGATTCACAAGTAGTGTCTTGAAATAATGGGTTAAATGTGTGTGGTAGGGAACATGTAGCTGACTACAGGTGAGCACTTTCTTTGGTCCAGGCTAGGTATCTTGGAGCCATCAATTTGAAAGGATAGATCCTGGTGAATAGTTTTAAAATAAGCATCAACCTCTAATGGTATGCATTTCTAAATCATCTTTATTTGATTTTGAACTGAAATTTTATATAATGTGCTATGTTTGTTAGTAGGAGAGGTAGACGTTCTAGAGATTCCCATGAACAGACAAATCTTGATGTAAGTAAGCATAGGTACTGAGCTTTAGTCTTTAAGCACTTATCTTTAACACTTGCTTCTCTCTCTCTAGGAGGGGCTATCTGTAGGCAGCCTTTGTGATTGAGGATAGAGCAGCAGCAGGAAGCAAGAAATATTAGAAATCAAGAATCCTGAATTCCCAAATAAGGAAGGTTTCCTGTTCTTACATTTAAATATGGGTTTGTCTGAGCTGGGAATTTACAACGCTTCAGAATACTAGGGTATGTTTTACTGAAATCATTAGGAAGATTTTTTTCCTATCAAAATTGCCTCCTTAACTGACACAGAGCATTCACAGTAAAATGTAAGCTCTGTTTTAAAATACACATTATAATGTAAAGCCATGATCAAATTCTGTTACATTTTGTAGCTGTATCACAAAGTTGAATGGTGATATTGGACTGCTTTGATTATGAAACTAATTAAATTAGATACTTTAAAATTATTGAAATGAAAGCCATGTTTATTTAAATAGGTGAATAATTAAGGGTATGTTTGTTGTATGTAGGAATCAAAATGGTGAATAATCAAGGGGTATTTATTTTTGTTGTATGTAAGTAAAACAAAATTTGGGGTAATTTTCTCCAAAACTAAAATTATTTTAAGCAGAATGGGTAGGTGTGTTAAAAAAATTTCTACGTTAGTTTTAAATGTGATTTTTTAAAAACCACACAACTTAAAAACTAAATTAGTTTAGTGGTACAAACTGTGAAAACTAAAATTAAAATGCCTGGATTTTTCCAAATGGGTATATCTACTGGATCTAAGGGTGAAGTACCTTTGGAAATGCCTTAAAATTAGGACAGTGCAAACAATTTTTTAAAATCTTTTTGTAAAACCTTTCTGTTATAGCTATTTGGTCATCACTTTATGAGTATCTATTAATGATGGTGTGTCTTTGAACTTTGGTATGTGTTGAAGTAGCTTTATACTTTTCCTACAGTATACAGCAACAAAAAAATTGAAGATCTGCTTAATTTTTAAAAATCTGTTTTAAATTTGTTGAAATATGCCATAAAGATTTAACTTAGAATAACTGAATTTCTTTTCTGTTTCCCCTTTGAAATGCTTTGCTGAACTGTTCTCAGGTCAGAAATGGATATCATCATTTCTCAGTAGCCATAGCAAAGATATTTTATCTACTCTAGGTAGCTTGTTTTCTGAGCTACGCTTTTGTTAACTTGGAGAGAATAACTTGGTTTTAAGAAATTTTTCTGATTGAGCCTCGCCAAAGAAAATCTATTAACATATTTTCTAGTGTTAACTAGATTATTTTTAGGAAATGTAAGTATATGCAGATTGTGATAATAGATAGAAGTGTTCTTCCAACTTCTACTTTTTTTTCTGTTTTCTTTCTTTTTGTCTTTATAATAGCAGTGGAACCCTTCAAATGAAACCTTAGATAAATCCATATAAATCCATGGCAGGATGCTTAAGGAAAAAGAATAAAAACAAAATCTTATTCAGAACCCCATTATTTAAAATAGATCCAGATGGAATGGCTCAGGTTAAAACTGTCAGTTCAAACACTGTAAAGGAAAAAGTGCTATTTAGCTGATGTCAACAGAGGAAATTTAATAAAGAAGAAAATGGGATTGTGTAATTTCAGAGTTTTTGAAAGATTCAATGCATCTGATATAGAATACATTTTTTGAACACAGAGTGGCTTTCTTTGGATCTTAGTGTTACATATTGAAATAGGTATAATAAAATGATAAACTTTGAATTTCCATATGTTGTGAACTTTTAAAATTCCAACAAAAAGTCATTAAGAGCTTATGTCTCACATGTACATGGTGGACAAAAGTAGGTTTACAGTTCATATGGAAAAAGACATGCAGGTTATGATTATTACAATAGCTTTATTCTGTTTTGCATATTCACAACTGTAAACCTACTTTTGCCCATCACTATATATGCATCATATTGTGGATTATCTTTTTGTTAATGGACCAGGCTATTGTTAGTCCAGTGAAGCTAGTTGATGGACTCCATATAATACTTAGTATATACCACACACCCTCCTAAGATTATTAATTCTTTTTTCCCCCCATAAACACCTTAGAAATAAGTTCTATTATTATCCCCATTTTCACTATGATGGTAACAGACACAGAAAGGCTATGTAACTTACTGAAGGTTATACCCAAGGACAGGCATTGAAAGTAAAATATAAATCCAGAGCCTTTACACATATCTTAACAGTTTTTTTAAAAAACATCGAAGGAAACACATTTTCATTTATTATTTTATCTTTTTAGGAAAGTTTCTCAAAATTTACCTTACAAAAAAGAAGTAATATATTTTGAAACTTTGGTAAAAATAAGAAGTACTTAAAAGTTTTTACTTATAAATATTCTTTGGAATTATAAATGTACTAATATAACCTCTAGCCCAGGGGTGGATTTCTGGCCATATACAGGCCTTGAAATCATTCGGTCTGGCCCTGCCAAGGCAACTGCAAGTGGGACTGGAAATTCCATAAATCTACAAGCTTTTTTCATTGCTAATTTTTAAGTTGATAATTTTGTATGGCCTTCGAATGATGTTATAAATATCCAAATGGCCCTTGGCAGAAAAAAGGTTCCCCACCCCAGCTCTAGAATAAGAATTACATATAGTAAATGCTAATGTGGTAAACAGCAATCATGTATTCATGATGTTGAGTTCTTTGAACTAGAACCGCTACTTGCAGTGCATTATTAAAAAGATGTGGGCAACTTTGTCGCTACTTGTAGTAAAGCTTCTTAAGGTTAAGTTTTCTGTAGGGAAAGTAATAGTATCTTAAATCCATAGTACTTAGAAGTAAGCTGATCTGGCTTCTACCAGTCTGAACTGATTTAATATAGCAAGGTCACATTTCCAAATTCAGATGTGGTAAGGCATTTTATCAAGGCCTACTTACTTAATTTTAACAGAGTAATAAAAGTAACTCAATTTATATTTTGACTGCTCCCAAAGTGAGTCTTGAGCTTTGTGAAAATGTATTATATAATAAAGGGCTGCATATAGTCTGGCTCACCTGTACTTGTACAAGGATATCTTGATATGTGCCAAAGTCCAGAATGGTAAAAATCACATTTTTTCACTAGGGAACATAAGATAATTTATCAAAATTCCATTACTATCTGTGGTCTTTTAGACTGTTAAATTGTTAAAGTCCTGTTTTACTTTTTGAATTATTTTTAAGTTATCATTAAATCATAGTATTAATAATAATCACCTTTTAGTATTTTCTTCATAAGCTACAGAATCTACCCTTCTATTCTAGTAGACAACTCCATCTTAAATTGTTTAGATAATATAAACCCATTCCTATACAAATATTTAATAGTATTATCAGAGAAACTCTTAATTATAGTTGAGGCACATTAATTTTTAAGGCATAGGAAATATATTTACATCAAAATAAAGTTGATGTAGAACCACAGAGTGATTAAAGAACAATTTATTTTAATCTATAAAGTGCCTGCAATTCTTTGAAAAAGACCAACAACCTAATGAAAAAGCTAGTCAAAGGACATCAAGGGATAGTTTTTTTAAAAAAGCAATTTGAATAGCTCTTAAAAATATGAAAATATGCTCAACCAAACTCATAAAAGGAAATGTAAAATTAAAACTATTATGGCATACCATGCTGTTAAGAATGAGGCAGCTTTTAAAAAAAGAAAAGAATGAGGCAGCTCTGAAATAGCAATATGAACTAATCTAAAGTACATAATTGAGAAAAACAAAATTCAGTTCAGCATCTGAATTATATATTTTTATATTAAAGAGACACATATATATGCATTGGTTATCTCCAAAAGGATATATAAGAAACTACTTCTGGAGAGGGCATCTAGGTGGCTAGGGGAGAAGTGGAGGAATCCTTCATTTTCTTCATATCTTTAAGAAAAATTTTATTGCTGGTTTAACTGCCTATTCAAAATAATTAATTTTTGGAGACAATATTGTCATAGAATATTAAAATCTGTAAGGAACCTGTACATGCCATTTTTTTACAGCTGATTTGAAGTTGCACAAGAGCTTTAGATCAGAGCTGTTGATTTCAGCCCAGCTCTGTTTTCATTGTAACAGTAGTTCTCAATGGACAAGCAGGTCTTCTTCATAGGTATTATCTTAATAATAGAGATGTTCTCTCTCTTCATCATTGTATTCCAATTACCTAGCATACAGTAGATGCTCAGTAAGTATTTGAATGAACTAAACAATAAATTTAAGGTATTTATTACTCTGAGGCGTGATACTGGCAGAAAGTATTTCATCTTCACCTTTGAAAGAAGAAAAAAATATTTTTCTGTCTCCTGTTCTGGTGGTGGAAAACATCGTAAATGTGTTTGTTATAGATTAATTTTGATTTATTCTAAAGAAACATTTCTAAAGTTATAAATTATTAATCATTTTTCAGACACTGGCTTCATGTCCTATTGACCGGAAACCTTTTCAGGCAGTGTTTAAAGTCAGTGCATTGGAAGGTTGTGTTAAGGTAAGGCTTAGATTTTACTTTGTTAACATGAACAGTATAAATATAAACTTAATTCAATTTTGCTTTAAAAGATTTCCAGTTTGAATAAATTTATGACTTGTTCAACTTTAGGTTTAATATGTCATTATCATTCCTTCTCAGCATGACAAACCCAGACTTTTCTACAAGGATTCAGAAATTCTCTTTTTTTTCTTTGCCCCCTAAAGAGGACATATTAATGGTAGTCATGTTATGTTTTTCCACAAAATATATTAGATTTCTAAAAGAAGTTTCACATTAAATCTTAGTTATGGAATATTTCAATTTTTAGAACATTTTTAGTGTGAGGACTTTTGTATTTCAAAAACATTTATTGATTAATTGGATAGAGTTTTGAATACATTTTTTAATTAAAAAAATATTTGAAATGGACTATTAGATTCAAAGACCAAACAC